GGACCTGAATTGTACCAGCACCGTCTCCCTTCACCAACCTCGAGCCACCGTCGAGTAATGTAAACCTCATCGCTGACGCAAACCTCATCTTCGTCTTCTTTCAACATTTCCCCGTCTACGTTTATAAAGCAAAGATCTCCGTTTTTCTCTCTATTTGTGCAGCTTTTGGGAATTTGTTGGAGAAAATACTAAAGAAAAGCAAAGATCAAACACATTGTAACTAACTAGTCAAAGGGAAGAACAGAGGAAAGGAAAGCAAGATGCCTAAAGAAGAAGACCAAAATGAAAGGGTAAGGGGGTCTGGGGTGGTAAGAGGTAACCCCTACCGACGAAAATCACATTGCAACCATTAAAAGCTGATCTTCTCTGCGGAGCTACAGCATGTAGGTTGACCAACGTGATCACCGAGAAGTGTATGGCTGGCAATATGAAATTACCGATGAGAATTTTGTCGATAAGAGTACCAAAAGCTGCGAGCTCAGCCATCGGCAGTCGGATTCACGGAGGAGGGTTGGGGACTGTGAATTTACCAACGAAGTCTTTGTCGGTAAATTCACCGAAATGAATCCTATTGCAGATTGAATTAGTTACAGGTGTGATCTTTGTCGCTAATTTGTTTATTGGTTTGCTTGTTGCTGGAGTGTACTTTCAGCATATTACCGACGAAGGGCACGTGTGTATCATGTAAATTTACCGAGGAAAATTTTGTCTGTACCTTAAATAAAATTTTGTCTGTACCTTAAATAATATAAATTACTCTTATTTTTACTGTTTCTTTATTTGCATACGTTTATCTTGTCGGTAAGGGGATAGTTTACCGAGAAGACTTCTCATGTCGGTGATTATGGGTCGGTGATTTTGAGTTTCCTAGTAGTGCATGGTGACAGCAATACAGCGTTTTTTCATGCCTCTGTGAAAGCGGGATGCTAAAGGTAGAATCAATGGAATTCAGAATAGCCAGGGGCAATTGTTAACAGGTGAAGAGGAGATTAAATCTGTATTTTTGGCTTACTACCAGTAGGTTCTTGGTGAAATGGATATGGATTTATTAGATGTTGATGAGCAAGTGTTGCAGAATGACCATTACTGACTGATGCTCAAAGAGAGTTGCTTTCACTGGATGTTACTGAAGAGGGAGTTAGACGAATTATACTTTCAATCCCTGATACAAAATCCCCTGGTCCAGCTGGTTTTTCGCCTGGATTTTACGAGGCTGCATGGGCAATTGTGGGGAAAGACCTTGTGAAAGCTGTTCAAGATTTCTTCAGAAGTGGGAAGTTGCTATAAGAGGTAAATTCTACAAGTATAACCCTGGTACCAAAAGTCCCTAATCCTGAATTTAGACCTATAGCCTGCTGCAATATTGTTTATAAAATTATTACTAAGGTTTTATTGGAGAGGATTATTAGGGATAAGTTAAAAATAGCTTATTAATTATATTCCGTTACAAGTGTCTCCACCCTCAGATGAAGTTTCAACATTGCCACCATCTTCTTTTCCCCTCTCTTTGCCCCTCTCTTTGCCCCTCTTCATCTCCTATACCCACATCAGAGGTGCATTATCCATAAATTTTATTTTGAAATTTATTATAAACACAAACAACACCTATTCAGATCATAGATCCTCTACCTCAAACATCTTTATGGGAAGAATAAAAGAATCAAGTTTTACCATCATCTTTTGGGAGGCAAGGAGAGAAGGTTTGAGTTTAGAAAGAAATGAAACCAAGAAAAATTGTAGGTAAGAAATATAAACAAAAACCCCAGAAGAAATAAAATTGAAACAAAGTCAATCAATCACCAAATCAATATCCATGGAAAAGAAAAGAAAAGGTCCAAGATCACCCATTCACATACTCAGGACTCTACAAATTACATGGTAGGACCAAGACTCAGCAATCAAATCCAATACCTAGATCAGCGACCTCTAACTCTCTAGTTAGATTCAAAAGAAAGGTATTTGAGTTCTCCTTGATCCTGGCTTCTTGTCCTGAGAACCCAAACTTCTCGATGAGAAAATTTGCATTTGCAAAGATGGGGAAGGGCTATGGGTCCCGGAACTGTTATATACCATCTTGTCCTTACTTTACTCTTTGTCATTCCCTTCTTCCCCACGAGTGACAGAAATTGATCTTCAAATCTGTTTCGCGGCCAATTGGGCTGCCATATCCTTGGTCTCTTTCTTTTGCTAATCACTGTTTCTCTATTTCCCTCCTTTCCTTCAAGTTTCAACAATAGAGAGAGGGATGAAATTTTTAAGATCATTTTTTCTGTGTGATAATTAAGTAATGGAAAAGGAGGAAAATAGAAAACCATTAATCATAAAACAGGAGACGAATTTCAAAGTATTTAATGATTTGTAGTGAAGATTTGTAGAAAAGATATATTTGAGAAGAAAATAAAGGAAACTGTTAAAAGTGCTTCGCTTTGTTGGAAGTAAAACATACTGATGCAACTACAATGGCATGTTCAGTGTTACATATTTGAGAAGCTTTTCATCTCCTTCAAGAGACCAGAGGGCTCCATGCACCCCCTGCTTGTTGCAGCAGCGGTGGCCCATATATAGTTTTCCTACTTCCTTGTTTGCAAATTCAAGGTATCCGGTACTCTCTTTCTCCATAGCAGTGACTAGTTACATGTTTTTGGAGGGGAAAGATGAAAGTATTGTGATGTGGGGTGAAAATTTTGACCAGATCACCAGTTGATAGTGAAGGGCTCGGCCATGGCAGTCGGCAAAGAAATGCAGAAGACTAGCTACAAGATTTTGCATTTTGTTCTTTTCCTCTTCTTCACTCTTAAAAATGGGCACAACGTTTCATATTTTTATAGCTTGTTTAATGGTCTTGGGTTTTCGCAATTCACTTGCAATTGACGGTTCCGATTAACGTCTTAATTTCCAAGATGACATGGCAAAACAAAGGAGAGGGCGCTGAAGACCAAGTGCTGGAGCGACTGCTCCTACGGCTGCTCTTTCGTCCATATCATCGATACCCTTACCACTTAGTAAGAGTGGGCACTATGCGACTATTACTTAACCATCTGAATTTTCAAATCTAAATTTTTAAATTTTAATTTAAATATTTAAATAAATTTAGATAAAATTAAAATAATTTAATTTAAATATAATCATTGACTCATATTTAAACTTATTGATATGAGTTATTCAATTATCTAAAATTATTTACAATTTTTTAATATATATTTATTTTATTTTTTATACTATTTAAAAAATTTTTTAAATAGAATTCTTTTATTAATCAAATTTATATATAAGAATATGAAAAAGAAAAAGACAAAATAATCAAAATTAAAAAAAAACAATGATAAAAATAAAGAATAGTGATATACTTTAATTATTTTAATTAATTAACTAAATTATTCAAATAATTTTGAATGATCAAAATTATAACTGAATTCAAAATTTAATTTAGATTAAATATAAAAGTCAAAATTATTTTAGATAACTAAAAATTTAGTTTCAGTTCAAATTTCCATTCAAATTTCAGTTTAGACAATCCAAACCGAGCACCCAGCCCACCACATTGGATATCTTACCGCCTCATTAAAAACAGAGCCCACGAATGCCGAATCATCAAACCCTTATCTCATGGATTTTTAAATATTGTTGTTTCCAGCTGAGCTTCTCATCATTGGCCTTAGAACAAACTTTGGCTCTCCTTCTGTTAACTATTGGGGTTGCTGTCAGCGTGCCGCATTACTTCACCTGAATCCATTCAAGTAATGCAAGATCAGAGAGGTGCTTCTCCATATTATACAAATAATATCACGGCAATAATAAGGCACACCGGTATAATCACCTGAAACCACTGTTGACTGTTCTTCTCTGTAACCCAGCATCTTGTTTAATGCACCAATGTATGCCTTCACGCTAGAAACAACAATATCCAGTCCAGCCCCCGTGCCACTGGCAGCCAGAACAAGATTTACGCACTCAATCTTGAGTAGGAAATACAAGAAGGAACACAAACAAAACCATTCTGCAATGCATTACCTAAATGTTCGATGAACTATTTCACCAGTCAAAGCATGCGTAGATACACGATCTTTCTCTGGACGAATTAGAACACGTGTGGTAGCTATGGCATCAATGCCTTCTGTAACTGCATTCATGGAGTACTCCAAAAGCGTCACTGGTTCCTGCATGTGCATGTACATTGACGTATTTACTGAGACACTGCTCATAAAGGAATGAGAGAAGAAATACTAATTTCCTAGGGCAAACCTTCACAATGAGATCAACAGCTTTGTAAGCAGAATCTACTGGCCCAGTTCCAACTGCACATTCAACATGCTCCTTCCCATCAGCATTAATGAGTTTAACTGTTGCAGTAGAAAGACCAAGAGTTCCGCATGTAACCTGTGTACCAGGTTCATCACATTGAAGACAATTAAAATCTAATTCTCAGGATGCAACATTGTTAGAAGAATCGAAGACTAGGTTACTTGTAGAGCAACAAGCTCCCAAAAAATTGCTGGCTGGAAAACTGCATCTGAGACCAACGCTACTAGATCAGCATCTGTAACTCTCTGAAATGACAGTGAATAAAATAAGCATTGATATATAGGTTTTTCTTTAAAAAGAATAAATGTTTTAAGAAGTCATCACAGCCTCTTGTTTACCTTCTTCTGTTCAGCTACTGCTTTGAAACTCCAGAAAACGTCCCCAAGCTGACGATCATCAAGTTCATAACCAAGCTGAATGTAGCATGAAGGAACAAAGTGTTTAGATATAGCATCATGTAGCAAAGTAAGATGAATAATCCTACATGTGTACTTGCTACTTACCTCCTTCAATCGATCTTTAAGAGCATGGCGTCCACTTCACAGAGAATACAAAATAGATATATATATAGAAAAAAAAAATGGAAGAAAATAGTCACTTTTTTTTTTATTGGAAAAATAGTCACTTTTATAACAAGAGAATTTATAAAGAAATCAAAAGTAGAAAATCCCAGATCCATCAATTCAGTACAACACCCATCATACACAACTACTTAATTTAAGTAGATGCAAATAAAAGGAAATGGCATCCATCACCCCCAAGAAGCGGCAAATGCCTTGGATGGTAAGATATATACCCATTCACATTGTGAAGATTATCCCATCCATGTCCAATGGGTTCCACCCACACTAAATAGGTGATCCGTGCAAAAAATCCACAACCAACAGCAGGAAAATACATCATAATCATGGAAATATTAAGATATGCCACGTGATGAGAAGCACTTAGATGGCACTGAGGGGACAACTGTTCATGGCAACTTAACGGTAATGTGAATCATGTGCTGCTTTTATGTTAACTTTGGGCATATAAGCTCAAGTTACGTACTCAGAGGGTCTAAATCCTTAACTTTTAGGCAGAAGCCCCAGATCTGCCCCTCAAATAGGACGATAGGGAAAACTCCACTCCTCAAGAAAAAGTAGAGACAAACTGCTCCTCCAAATTATAGATGAAGACAAATTATCCATTATTTAATATATTACATCATCACATCTCAGAAATTTGTTTGCCACCTAACCATTTTTTATAACAGAAAACTGACGTATGAAATCATCACATGTTAAATAATAGGCCTTTATTGATAATTTCGAGGGGCAATTTGTCCCTGCCTTTTTTTGAGGCATGGATCTGTCCCTACCCTCTTATTTGAGGGGCAGATTTGGGGGGTTTGCCTAACTTTTAACCACAAGGGCAAAGACCCTCAAAACTTACAAGTTCATGGGCAACTTGGGGGGACAAGGGTGGGTAGGTTTCCCAAAATATAATGCTTAATTATGTCAAATCTTTAACTACTTAGTCCACCCATTCAACATCACTCTCAGTCAAGCACTGAAAAGCCCAAGGAAAAGTCACTTCAAAAAACACCACTCCCACTTAAAGGAATACCATGCTTAGAACGCTTAACAAATTATCTACACAAGTAAAAGAACAAGATCTACCAGGTAAGAAAGAAAAATTTTCAAAATATAATACCTACCTAAGTTTACCAAGGACTATACCAGCCTCATTGGAGCGTTCAAGCCCAATCTCTTCAGGAGATATAATTTCATAAGTACTTTTGTGCTTTAGCATTCCATCCTACAGAAAAAAGAAGCAAACTATGCCTCATATTCATTTAACTGCAACAAAACATATCAATCCACAGACAAATTTTTTCCAGCAAATAAATATACAATAACTAATTAATTACCAAAGAACTTTATAAAGCACACATGGTATGCAAAGAAAAAAAAAAACCACATTTCAGTTGTAAGGGAAGCCATGAATAGCTAAGTAGGGTCAGTAAATAACCAATCACTATCACAACATTGATATTTGATAACCAACCTGGTGGATACCACTTTCATGAGCAAATGCATTGGCTCCAACAATAGCCTTGTGTGGCTGCAAATTCAAACCAGTGTACTCTTCCACCTAAAAAGCATGTTATTAAGTCAAAAAAATGGCATCGCAAGAAACATAATTCAAATGCAATACAAGTAAATAACAAATGTATCCCAGCATCCATTACCATCTTGCTTGCCATCACAATACATCGTGTATCAATTCCTGTATAAAGACCTCCTAATATGTCCTTTCCTTTGCATTTGAAGGCCATGACAACCTACATAACAACATAATTAGCAACACTAGAATTCAAAAGTTAGAGAAGAAAAGACATCATACCAGCCTTCAAGCATCCTAAAAGGCTTTCCTTTTCTCTTAAAAACCTTTGGAATAAATAACAAACCAAAAGGATTACCACAAAAATTGGATGCACAACCCTGATACAGGATGAATGGGAGATAAAAAAGTGACCACCTCATAGAAAAACTGTGTCCAAGAACTCCACAAAAGAGCCTGGGGAAATGAAGTCCTGATTATGGATGACTAAACATCTAGGCAATATGACACTCGTAATCAAGGAAGATTGAGTCCCATATTTTCCATCTTATTAATTTTGGATGACACAAATTCATTCTCTCATCATGCAAAAACCAAATACTTACCTCCTCTAGTGAAGCATTTCCAGCCCTTTCACCAATGCCATTGATTGTTACTTCCAGTTGCCTTGCGCCTGCAGCAGCCCCCTGAAATGAAGAAGAATAAGATTTGAGTGCTGTCTTAGTTAGGTTCCTTGGGAATTTAGTAAGGATGATGATGATGAAGAAGGGGCTTACAGCTAGTGAGTTGGCAGTAGCAAGTCCAAGATCATTTTGACAGTGTGTTGAAATAATAACATCCTCAATTCCAGGAGTATTGGCTTTTATATCAGCAATCAACTGTCCAAACTCGTTAGGCAAAGTTATACCCACAGTATCAGGAATGTTTAGAGTTGTCGCTCCAGCCTTAATCACTTCACCCAAAATCTCATACAGGAACTCCTTATCAGATCTGAAAGGATCCAGATAAAAACCATATGATCAATTCTTTTCCTAATCGGAGAAGAGAAAAAAAAAAAAAGAAAAGAAAAGAAAGAAAGCAAGAATTCCTAATACAGGAGTAATACTAAAGAACATCAATTCACACCTGCCAGCATCTTCAGGACTAAACTCGACATCATCACACCCCAAACTCCTAGCAAACCGAACCATACTCCTGGCAATCTCCAAAACCTCTTCCTTTGTTTTCTTCAACTTATATTCCATATGTATCCCGCTTGTTGCAATGAAAGTGTGAATCCTGGGCCTCTTGGCGTACTTGACGGCTTCCCATGCAGATCTGATATCATTCTCATTACACCTAGACAACCCACATATAACCGGAACATAACCAGTCTTATCCACCGCATTACCCACCTCCTTGGCAATAGTCTTCACCGCCTCGAAGTCATCTTTGGAGGCAGCAGGGAAGCCAGCCTCTATAATGTCAACGCCGAGCTTGGCAAGCTGACGAGCTACATCTAACTTCTCCTTGGAGGTGAGAGCGGCTCCAGGGGATTGTTCACCGTCCCGGAGGGTGGTATCGAAGATGCGAACATAGTTGGGGTCTGGAATGTAATTAGGGATGTAGTCGGGGCGGTGGCCGGGGCCAGGGCCGGGGCGGGAGCCGAGGGAAACGTAGGAATTGAGAGAGCAGGAGATGACAGAGGTCTTGAGGAGGGAAGTGGAGGGAGGCGACCGAAAGTACAGAGCAGGAGGAGGAAAAGGAGGAAAGGGGGATGATTTGGAGGAGAGAGAGGGAAAGTGAGAGAATTTGGGGGAAGTGAAGAGAGAGGAAGCCATCGAAAAGCGGAAATTGGTAGAAGAGGAGGGGGAAGAGGAGCACCGGTGTGCTTCTGCGGCTGGTGAGGTTTTTAGGGTTTTAATTTAGGGTTCTGTTTATGTATAATTATGTGCTAAAATCACTACTACTCGCTCCAAGTATTTTTCAAGAATATGGAATTTATAAAGATTGCAATTAATTAA